GGATCTACTGAACCGATTTTAAAAATTCTTTTACCAATAGAAAGTTACGTTCTTTCTGAGTGTCATAGGCTATATATTAACCCGAAAAATGAAAAGGCTTTTTCGTGGTAGTTGGATTTGCAAAGTAAGTCGGAGAAAAAACGGTCGAACGAAAAGGTTTCTTACGAACGCTGCATTAACGGTGAGAGATATATGATTATGTTCTAGAGAAAAGTTGTAGAGCTTAATAATGCCTACAAAACAGTCAGCGACAGCATATGTCTAACTTTTATATTTAAGTCACAAAAAGTAGTTTTTTATAATAAAAAAATCATTTAAATCGGTAGGTCATGTTTATTGGTCATATTATCAACAATTATGAATTCTTATCAAAATAAGTAAATTTATCGTCTAAAACGTTTAAAATAAAAGACTTTTCCCTTTTACTGCATATAATTTGGACAAATGGTTAAAGACATACAACATATTCGTATGTATGGACGAACCCGAGCGAGCTGTTTATCTGTTTTTCTCTTTGTACGGGCTAATCTCCGGATCTATTGGACCTATTTAAATGAAATTTTGCATGGTGGTACCTTATATCCCCGGGCAACATCTTAGATACTTTTCATCCCGGAAAATTAAAGAGTTCCCGTGGGATAGTTAAAAAACTATAACAACTTATACAGCTTAGTACACAAAAACTACTGATTGGATTTTAATGAAACTTTACAATAATATAGTTCATACATGACTAAAACAAATCAGCTACTTTTCATTCCAGAAAATTAAAGAGTTTCCGTGGGATAGTTAAAAAACTATAGTAATTTATACAGCTTAGTACACAACAACTTACGCACCTAATTTCGTAAAATTTGGCATGCCGATACTGCCGGTCAAATAACAGGTTACTTTTCATCCCGGAAAAATGAACGGTTCCCGTGGGATAGATCTATTTGTGCTATTCCAGAGGTGAACCCGAGCGAAGCGAGGGTGAGCCGCTAGTAATATATAAAATTCCAGTGTAGTGTGTTTTAGTAATTCGTCTCCTTGGCAGGGCTTGACTTAAAGTGATGAAATTTTTTGTATATTTATGTTGTCAGCTGTATGGTTCTTAACTATAGTTGGATCCGGCAGGTGTTGATATTGTCCGTGAACCGTTTTTTTTTAAATGTTCCTACCAAACGAGGTATGTGGCAAGAGAACGCTAGTACTATATAAGCTTCCTGCTTCCTTTCATCATTCCCTTTGTTTTAAAGATTAAAAATATTAATTATGCCAAGTTTTTAAAAATCTACACAGTACGTTTTGCTCGCTAACGAAATTACCATGTAAAATTTCATTCTCTCTTCCACAAAAAAGTTATCCCGAAATAAATTGCGGTCTAGATGTCGAGTCGACTATCAAAAAATAATAATAAATTGTGATTTTGCAAAGAAAATTAATATTTTATTCAAGTTTGAAAGATAGAAATGGGTGCTGTGGGATTTCATTAGAAATTATGCTACTGAAAAGTTACGCTTGACCTTTTTAAGAGTTTTTATTTTTACTATATTACTTATTATTTTATTTAATTGCGACTTATATACTATTTTACTATATATAATAAACATTTTACTATTTTTTTAATAATATTATTATAGTACCTAATCACTGTATACTATAAATTAAATTAATCTCGCAGCGCATTTTGTGTTTGTTTTATATAGATTTTCATATGGTTTTCACCAATAGGAAGAAGTGTTCTCTTGGAAGGATAGACTTATAACCATATTGCGAAAACCAGCTACCGATATGATGATATTTGTGTAACGAGTCGGAAAACGCCTTCTGAGACGGGACTCTAGAGAGGCTAATATATCATATACTGTAGTATTTTATAAAGTTGGTTTACGAAACCAAATTAAATTAATACTATAAAAGCAAAAAAATCATGATGAAATTTTAATTCGTCAGCATTTACAGTCAGGGTTTGGCGTGCATTCATCTAATTAGCGCTCTATTCGATTAACCGCAGGGCTGCACACAAAAATAAAAAATAAATTTAGCTTTATTTATTTTATTTAATCCTTTATTTATCACAAAAAATAAAAATACAATATAAATGAATATATAACTTTAAAAATATTAGTGTAAAGGCGGCCTTATCACTAAAGTGATCTCTTCCAGGCAACCTATATTATAAAGAAACTCATAGGGTGACATGGATTATGGTTGGTGCAGAAAAAAAGAACTAGTCTATAATAAACTTACTTAAACGGTACATACTATAAAGTACACACAAGCTTACATAAATAACGATACGGACATGCATAAATAAATATTATAATATATAAGTATAAACAATAAACGTATATATTCTACAATAAACTTACATAAACAGGGCTTACATAAATATACATAGACTTATAGCGATAAATAGTAGTTTTAAGACGACGTTTGAATACTTGCACCGATTCCGACTGGCGAATGTCCTGTGGTAAGGCATTCCATAATATTCCAGCTTTATTTCACTAAAATAAATTATATAAATATTTACCATCTTATTTCATATACATCAGCATATTATATTTAGTTCATTTATCTTCAAGCGCGACATTTATTTTGTTTTTAAAAAAATATTGAAATAAAAAGATCGATTGTTATAATTAATAATAAAAAAAGGTATAAACAAAATACCAAAAACTTAAATAACTAGTTTGCCTATGACCTTACAACTGACAATGAATATTTAAAAATATGCTTATTACTCACTCCTTTCAGCGAAAATTAAATTTTCATGAGATTCGTAACTGTATATAATCATAATACTTTCTTAGATTTACAGCATTCATGGTCACGGCAGACTGAGGTGTTACATGTCTCGAAGGTATAGTTGTTACAGACAGCCTACCCACAATTAACAAAATGAAAATTGCACCAATTACCTTACAATATTTTTTAACTTTAAATATTTGTATTTATATATTTTTTTTTTATTTTAATTATATGTAAAGCATTCGAAACGTCGGGAACCAAAAATCCAAATAAATCCGCGAAATAATCCGAAAAGATAGTTTTATATAAAATGTATATAATCAGAAAATCATTTAACTTTATTAAGAATTTTATTCTGTGTATGTCACAAAATATTCAAAACATATAGGTATTATGAGATACACATATTATAATCTACACATATAATAAAACAGTAACTTGGCGAAATCGATGTGCGTGTATCATACAAAAAGTACTGACCGATTTTAACTAAATTTTGTGTAGTGATAACTTATTACTCGGTTCAATATTTAGGATACCTTTTACTTCAGAAAATCTTTCATTGCCACAAGTAAACACAATAAAAAACGTGTGTGTTTACATATGTACGCACATAAGAAGTTATACTTTTTAGGCGTAACAGAAAAAAAATAGTTAAAGATTTCATCCCGTATGTCAGAACTCTCTGTTTGAGTAACAATGCAAAATTGATTAGATTGGACTTCTAACAAACTCGTCCACTTCGAAAGTTAACTTGTTCTCAAATACTATCAAAATATCTCATAACCAATTCAAGTGGTAGAACGTATATGACATAATATATTTTTGTCATTTTTTCATTTCTTTATTATCACCATCCAATACGTAAATTTGATGTGGTACATGAGTTCTGTAAAATTATGGGTAGCTATCTGATTATAGGACGTACGCCACATGTTCATCTTCTGTCATGTCGAGACAAATAATACAGTTACATAAATTGAGTTCGTTGCTTTGAGCGGAAATAATAGCTACAGAATCTAACAATACGCAGTATATGTTTAAAAAAATAATTATTATAACAACTATTTATATTATATTTATTGTAATAATAACATATGTATTATTTAATTCATAAAATATGCTATACCAAGACCCGATAAAGTTTCTGTTAATAGTTTTTCATAGATATAATTTATTACTATAATTAAATGACAAGAGTGAAATAAGTTGCTAACATTTCGTTTTTCGTCCGATTTCAACTTACGAAGCCGTAACATATAAACGATTTCCAATAATTACACCAGCGTGATGAATGTGTTGTCTGATTCAGGCACAAAGCTCCGCCACATTATCGAATAAGCTATACTTAACGTTATTTTTAAAGAAATGTATTAATTTATTATTAGAGTGTACCTTAGGATATACACACATGTTATTGCTGACTTTTTTGTAATGTATTCAGCCCTTTTTAACATCCCACTGCTGGGCACGGGCCTCCCTTCAATACGAGGGGGATCAAGCCATAGTCCACCACGCTGGCCAAGTGCGGGTAGGAGGACTTCACATGTCTTTCGAAAACATTAAAAGATAAAATTACCGAAAAAAATATTAAAAATATATTAAAAAACTTTTATCTTGAGCAGCCTGTATAGACAGTTGTATTACAAACCAGTTATATGCTAGTACAGTGACAAGCCACTGCCGTCTCGAAATAATATAAACAACGCAAGTTGGTGATATTCTTACCTGTTTTGAATAGATTTATGTTTAATTAACTACCGCGTATGAATCCGTAGTGCACGGGAAAATCAATCATGGTTTTTGTTGCGCTGTTAGTGTTTAGATTAGTGTTTTAAAAAATGTAATAAAATTTTAAATAAATAAATAAAACTTGCTAGGTTCTCTCAGACATGAAGGTTTCCTCACGATATTTTCCTTCAGCGTAAGGCAAGTGGTAATCATGTTAGAAATGATTCGCACATGAAAATATCAGAGGTGCGAGACTCGGGATTTGAACCCGCTTGACTCGGTTTCCCAAGCGAGCGTGTTACCACTGGGCTACCACTGCCTGTAAGCATTTATGAAACTTCTATGTTGTACCTAGTATTTTTTTTTTATTTTTTAAACTATGCAAATGTATGAACATCCACATTCACATTTTATTCTAATTTTCTTGCAAAAAGAAGAATTAGATAACGAAAGGTATTTTAAAACTACTTAATTTAAATATTATTTAGCAGTTATTCTTGGAGAAATTTCCTAATGTTTTGTGTTTTTCGCAGTTAATAACAGAGATCAACGTGCAACTCGCACTATTCAGAGATCTACTGATTCACATCGGACAACCCCACGACAGTCCTGAACTCCGGGAACGCGTACGCCGCTTACGCCGCACCTGCGTGGAAGCCACCAAACAAACCAGTCAACTAGTTCTACCGGCCTGTAAGAAGTAAGTCTATATATTTATTTACGTTTATTTCTGTATATTACATTAGCAACTTACTTTCGCACTCTGGAGTACACAAAAAGGTAGCCAAGGTAGGTAAAAGCTGCCTAAAAGTAGCCTATGTGTTACTCCAGATCATAGTCTATCGGTGTACTAAAACTCGTACTTATAATATTATAAATGTGAAAATGAGTTTGTTTGTCCTTGTTTCACGTCGAAACAGAGTGATGGATTGGTGTGATTTGTGTGTAGAGATAGTTGTTGCGCTGGAGAGTGACATAGGCTACATTTTGCCTTCTCTTTTGCCATCTCATTCCCACGGGAAAACACGTCAAAATACAACCCACAACAACTCATCATACCTATTTATGTATCTATATATATATATATTTATGTATCTATATATATATATATATATATATATAATCTATCTATTCCATACTATCCGTTAAAACATACCTAGGGACGAACCCGGGCGATGCGAGGGCGAGTCGCTACCTTCGTATAAATTCATCTAGCTATATGTGTATAATCAAATTACGCTATAGCTAGAGCTTTTTGGCTGCTATCTACGTAGTAATATTGTTTAGTAAAAAAAGTTTTTTCATTTTCACATTTTCCATTTTTAATGTGTATAAAATGAGTGTGTGTTTTATATATATATATATATATATATATATATATATATATATATATATATATATATATATAATTAATCTCAATCAATACATAGGCTACAAAATCATGTAGATTATCATAACTAAAAAAGAAGAAGATAGCAATGTCAAGAACTGCGCAGACGCTTACAGCGTACTTCTTTGCTTTCTAACTTTTAGACGTGCGATTTAAACTTTGCTGCTACGTAATTCCATAACAGGAAGGAACCAGATGGCGTTTATACGATCGTAAAATCTGAAACATTCAAAATCTAATTTTGTTTAACCGACCGAAAAACGTTTACGATTCTTTAAATTAAAATGCAAACGATCCAATGCTGATCTTTATTGAATTTATTTGTTTTTAACATTAACTACTAAATCTTTCAAGCCACGTTGTTTATAATTTTCTATACATAAGTAGACAGAGACATTATAATTCAGTACCTTTTTCTCGTCCATTTGTCAACCGATTTCTTCTTTAGTAATATTATATAAACAGTTTTTCTTTCATATACGTAGAAAATAGGTTAATTCTATTCATATATGTTTTCTTAAATTTTCAAATTTTTTATGGTTGAATTTCAACCGCTGGGCGAACACTAGTTATAGTAATATTATATTTTTATTCCTAGGATATTTTTTAAATAATATTTACAAAGTCAAACTTACGAAGTGAAGCATTACAAGATGTAAACTACATTTTATACATTACACTTTAAAGTTTAAATGCAGTTTACGTACTCATGAAACAACAGTCCATTAAAATATTTAACTGCTTTAGTTCTAGAACATGGTGCATATATAAATCTATACATATAATAAAATTGTAGCTAAGCCGAATCTGTACATTAAATATTTTTTGGAAAATCTTATTGAAATAAACTTTATTATCAATACAGAGGCCGAATCTACGGTTTTTTAAAATTTTGTCTGTCTGTTCGTCTATTATCGCATCACGGGAAAACCACTGGATTGATTTCGATGAAATTTAGTATGATGATAGCTGGCTACCCGAGTCAACATATAGAATACTTTTTACTGTGGGAAAATATCTCATTTCTGAGAAAAAATACAAAATCTGCATTGTAAGAGTGTACTAATAAGTAAAACCTAATAATTTGATTTTTGACGCTAGTGTAATATATGTCTTGTATAATCAATATATGTACCTATATGTTATGAGTTATGTGAATCTTATTCATTATATAAATGTTAAAGTCTATCTGTCTGTCAACTTGGCTTTGACTTGGTCCAATTATGTATCAAGCGAGGGAAGTATAGTATATACCGTAATGATATGGTTTTTTTACTAAAAGTAATCCAAGAAGTTTTTAATTAGGTACATATAATTATTATATGCGTATCTTTAAATACCCTTTTTTTAACGTTGGGAAATGCATTTACGCACGAAGTGTGGGACTCACCGGCGAAGCCAGTACTACCCACTAAAACCCAACAAAACCTTCCCCCGTCTTAATGGGGCGTCGCAGGATCGCTTACGCATACAACTACGACGCCCCGACGGCAGGTCTGCCGAGGCAGACCACAACGACCATGGGGTTGCTCCAAAGTCCACTCTGCTATCAGAGAAGTACCAGGAGCAACCTGCATGGTACACCGCCCTCCGAAGAGAGCCACCTCCCACCGCCCACCGAAGTGGGCCACCCCCCTGTGCTTTTCTTGGCTTCGCGCCCGGCTGTATTGCCAGACACTACAGACCCCCCCCACCACGACAAGGTGAACGCACGTTGGAGGGGGGGGGGTCTTTAAATACCCTACCAAAATGAAAATATATCATATTAAAATATAAGCAAGCGGGACGACTTGCTAATAAGGTATAAACAGGAACAAAAGAACATCATGCAGTGAATACAAAGCTTAGTTAATGTGGCATAGATTAATGTTTTCTTACTATAAGACTAGTTCTACACCATAAGCCCAGTAGAACGTACACAAATTAACTGTAAGTACTTTAAACTAAGGCAAGGCAAGGTAAGGCAGTGGCAGCTCAGTGGTAACGCGCTCGCTTGGAAAACGAAGTGAAGCGGGTCCATATACCGGGTCACGCACCACTGATATTTTGATTTGTGAATCATTTCCAACATATTGCCACTTTTCTTAACGGTGAAGGAAAACATCGTAAGGAAACCTTCATGTCTGAGAGAACCTAGCAAGTTTTCAAAGGACATGTGAAGTCCGCCAATCCGAACTTAGACATCGTGGTGGACTATGGTCTGATATCTCTCGTACTGAAGGGAGGCCCGTGCCCAGCAATGGGACGTTAAAAAGAGCTGAATAAATACTTTAAACTTAAATAATTCTTTAAATAACTTTAACAAATAATATCGAAATTCTCTATTCCCTCAACTTATTTCACTGAAATATCTAAATATTATTTAACAAAATAATAATGCAAGGAGTCACACAACAAAACATTTTAACTTGTCTTATCCGTTACAAATTCGCATTAACAAATACGAATAGGTTATAATGCAAAGAGCGCCCTCTCGTCAGACAAATTATTATTTCCCAAAGCCGCAGGTACTTAAGTGCCCAATTATTTGCATATCAAAAGATATACTAGTCCTCAAGTTAAGTATAAAATAGAATCAATTATGTCGGTAAAAGTTTTCACCATTTCACCGTATCAGTCCATTGTGTGGCTTCCAAAACCTAAAACAATTTATTTGGTGCTTAATTTTCACTATCTTTGACAATCGTATATAATGACTTAAAACAAGGTAAAACAAAATAAAAGCCACTAAAAGTGTTGTTATCAAATTTTGACAACTCACGCAATATGAAAGCTGCGTGATGCTAGTAAGTATAGGTTATGATTAAAGTTGAATTATTCTTCTATAAAACGTTAGTCGTGTCGAGGGTGAAAAACCAGTTTTCCATCCTACATATTTAGTGCATTATAGTAAAAGCTATAATTTATTGACACCGAAGTTTAGTTTATGTGGCTAATATTTCAAGATATTTTAAAGGTATTGTCTCTGCATACATATAATAAAATTCTGAGTTCGAATCAGATACAGAGGCCGAATCTATAGTTTTTAGAATTTTTGTCTGTCTGTCTGTGAGCGCTTCACGAGAAAATCACTGGACAGACTTTGATGAAATGTGGTATGATGATAGCTGGTTATCTGGGTCAACATGTAGAATACTTTTTACTTCGGGAAAATATCTCATCTCTAAGAAATCTATACTAAACGTTATAATTTTATTAAATAATAATGACCTTTATATTATTTTTAACTCAATATAGACTAAAAAGTACTCAAACAGCACTCGAGAAGGCTTAAATAAAAAAGTATCACTAAATAAATTTAATTTTTTTACTTATATAATTTTCTATCCCTATAATTGATTTTTATATTAAAAGATTTTAGTAATGATTTGTAATACATATATTATATGTATGTCAAGACTACTCTATTATTTGGTACATTTGAAAAGAGACGCTACGAAATGGTATTATTATGAATAGAAAAGAAACCGTAAAGGCGCAAATGAAGGTGGGAGTTAAAAGGAAGCTCGGCAATCGGAGAACAAGCTTACGCGGAGAACCCGTCAGTTTGATTGATTAATAGCCGTAGGTAGATATTCAAATGGCAAATGTGCCTCTTAAGATAATAAAATATGTGTTTAAAGGTTTGAAAATTTTATTATAGGTATATATTTGTTATTCAAGTAAAAATTAGTGATAAAATAGAAAAAAACTAGTAGGTATAGTTTTAATATTACCCGTTAAAAAGTTCTCAATGAGCGTGTTTTATTCGATACATAAATAAAAAAGTTAAAAGGCAATGGCTAAGTTCAAAACATGCCGCGAATGAATGAGGTTATTCCGCCTTTGATAATTATTATACGAAACATTTCAATATCCTGTCGCATTTATACTAAAAAGATTAGGTCAGCTATTTAATATATAATAAATTATTCCATAAAAGAATACTTCTTATCGATAAGTGAGACATTTTTCATAAAATAGACCCCATTAAGAACTGTGTGTGACTACTTTTTAGTGTCACAATGATATTTTCAAAATATTCAAAATTTGTTAACTTTTACCATGAAAACCCACAATTATAGATGTATATTTAGAAAAACGTTTTTTGGGCACAAGTTTAGTATATGGAACGCGACCCCTAGAGAAGTGAGTGGAATTTTTGGATAGGGGAGGTGATAGGGAATTCAAATATATAGAAATTATTTTGAGAAAACGAAGAAGTCAAAAGTAATTGAGACTTAAAGTTAGAACATTCCCATACATTTCTATACCTAAATAAGTAATTACAAAAGATAAACATACCTTTAATGAATAATAAACATCCTTTTTCGTCTAAAATCCATATTTTCATAACAATTAAATCTTTATTGAATTAATATTTTGATAATTTCACTAAAAACAATAACCTAAACAAAATAATCTTAAATTTTGACAAAAATGTCAATTTCTGTTTTATATGCCGCTTTCAGGACATGACACATTAATTATCGCTTAAAAATTAGTTAAGAGTTATGCATATTAAAAGTGAAAATTGTCGTCAGATTACTAAGATTCTAAAATAGAAATATGTTATTTTCAATTCATACATACATTTACTAATTCTTATTTAATTTATGTAAAATATTGAGTTATATAAATTATTTACATTTAGATTTTTTTTAAACCAGTAGTCACAAAATATCGCGAAGTTCCATAGTGTATGTAAACGAGTCTTTTGTTTTAATAGTATTACTATAGTTTTAAATATTCTTAGTGTTTTAAGTGTGCTCATGCAGTTTATAAACGTAAGTAGACTATTTTTTTAATCTAAGTGTATTATTCATTTTCGATTGGCAGTCCAACTTGGATAAGCCTATAGCTGAGAAGACTAAGGCGGGAGCGAAGTGTAGCGTAGCTCCCGCCTTAGCCTTCTCGTTACGTCTTTTTTTATTTCAAACCCAGAACCCCTGCTATCATTAGTGCTTTATGTTAATTTAAAATTCGGTGATAGATCTGACTCATTATTTGAAGATCATTTTGGCACTTGGAAGTGACATTTTGACATTTCCAAGTGTCAAAATGGCAGTAATGTCGTAATAATGTATGGAAATGTTGTAACTTTAAGTCTCAATAAATTTGACTCTTACGTTTCCTCAAAACTAAATTTATATATTTGGACTCCCCATTGCCTCCCCTATACAAAAATACTACTCGCTCGTCCAGGACCCGCGTCCCAAATACTAAACTACACCCCAAATTTCATCCCCATTTTCGCCCCCTTAAGAGATGATTTCTGGGATAAAAATATCAGCATCCTATGTCCTTCCCAGGGTCTTAAACTATCTTCTTAACCAAATTTCATCTAAATCTGTTCAGTAGATCCAGAAATTACCCCCTACAACGTCATAAACTCACAAATTCACAAACTCACAAACTTGACCTCCTTATAATATTAGTATAGAAAACAAGTAATCAATCAAAGCAATTATTACACCTACAATATAATATCAGAGTTCGCGTTATAACAAACCGAGCTACACGAAATGTGAGGGGCAGCGACAGAATTTAGTTGGTGACTGGAATATCTAGTCTCAAAATGTTATAAAAGTTTTAAAAATCATTGACATAGTAACATTTAATATAATTATATTACTTCTCACGGCCTAATTTACTCTAAAAGTTTGAGTTTGTAGTTGAAACGAAAAAAAAATAATAAACCATGTTTGAACTCGCCGACTAGTAGTGGAAGCTGGAATACTCTAAAATTTACGCTCCAGATATTTACTGGTTAATTCCCTCTACATTTTGGTTAAAAATCTTGTGGTATAAATATATTAAGTACATTTTCCCCACTGTTAAAAGTACCTCATTATGACATTAAAACAGAAGAAGGCTTGAAAATTTAGGCAACGGAGTTTCGTTAGTCGCACAAATGTTCAATTATTTTTGTGTAAATAAAATTAGTAGGTAAAGATTTAAAATGTCGTAGCTGTTTTTTTTTTTCAGTCTAAAATATGATGGTATGATTGTAGAAAGATATTTTTTAATAAATATGCACATAACAACCACAATACTCGAGATGTTGATATGTAACATTCTTCAAAAATTTCACACGAATTCGAAAAAAACCATATCTTTTAAACAAATTTCGCATTAAACATAAATTATCCTTTTGAAATTATTATTAAACATTTTTAACACCATAAAAAATCAAGTTTCGAGCACACTTAACCTTGTATCTTTAAAAATAACGTAAATATGTAGCTAACATTAGTATGTTAGTTAAAAAACGGATATAAGCCGAGTCATATGATTTTAAAGTCTTAAGCATTGTATACGATGCTTCACCTTCCTGTACTAACTTTAAAAAATAGAGTAGAAAAATCTAAAAACATTGAGCTTCCAATATAATTTTAAGCAAAATTAGGTACTTTACAGAACATACTATAAGTAACTTTAGAAATAAGATATTCACTTAAGACCGCAAAATTAAGTTTTTTCTGATAATATCGTAAAGAAATAGTAGTATACATTTTTGTATGAAGAACAACTTTGCTGAACTTATCGCTGTATTTTTCCATGAGAATGAAAGATTTTCCTGTAGTAAAAGTTATCCTAAATTTAGACCCGACCTAATATCACAGATCATATAATACTATTATAATAATAATTATTATTATTATTATTTACTTTACGACAATTTTTTTTCTTAAAGTCTGTTTAGCGTTTTTGCTTGAAAAGCCAACAGACAAACAGACATACAAAAAACAGACATTTTCAACAATTATTGTTTTAGGATCTTTATTCTGTACACAATACGAGTACGTAACAGTCATAGTTTTAAAAAAATATTTATGTAGAGATTTCGCTTTGTTATCATTGTATTGTATGCATATATAAAAAATAATAGAGCTAGGATTTTAGAAGCCTTTTATTGTTTTATAATGGAAAATAGAGCAGTATGAATTTATCCTAGAATGTATATTTAACGAACCAGGCCAAACCAATTAACCTAGGCTAAACTTGTTAATCCTATCGCTCGTGTTGTATCGAAGGGCAAAATCTATACTGAAAAAACTAATTTGTCCTTAAAGCTTATATCTTTAAGGATAACAATAAATAAAAAAGATACTTTATCATTAATAAATTAATGTATTAAGAAAAAAACATACGAGTACATATGTTATAAAATAATTGTTTACATTTTAATAATATTAGCTTTAAAAACATTAAAATATTATCTAAAATATTAAAAATGATTGAAATTCATATATCTCTATGTACTCAGGTCAACAAGCGAAGGCTGCGCAGATCAGCCGCAGTTGGTGCTTTTATATTTCATGTCACAACTACTTCTTCGAGAACTCGCCAAGTGCCACCGCCTCGTGCAACTCGTACCGATGGACATGACTTCATACTATGGTAATATTTGAAACCATTTTCTTTACTTTCCTCAATATGTTTAAAGTAATATCTTTTGCTATTTCTGATATTAAATCGATAAGCCAATAAAATCGGTGAAGTGTGAAACTGGTTCTTCTATACATAGAAGAGCATTTCATTTTGATTTGATAAATAAAGATTTATTCTTGCTTTAAGCTATGCGTATTCAGCAGTTATAACTGTCTAGTACCTAATTTTTAAGTTTCCAAATCATTCATGTACGGAACTTAAAAATATAAAATTGTTTATCTGTGCATTTATTACCTTAAGGTTTATTTTTTAATTATTTAATAAAATATTAAACAGAAAACCGCGCGGGTCCATCAAATTTCGGCAACGTCATCAGCCAAATATTACTGTGCAAGCAAATTACTCCGGATTTCAACCAAGAAGAGTTATGCAGCATCGCCAAAGACACGCAAGATATAACGAGGATCGTCAGTGAGATCCAAGAATACCTGCCACAGCACGAAAATCTAAATCACTTAGGTATTTATTTTTCTGTCAGTTGAATAACGTTCAAACAATATAAATATAACATATATATATATATATATATATATATATATATATATATATATATATATACATTTGCTAATAAAGCTTCTTATATAAAGATAATAAAAAAGTTAAAGTAAATATCAATATTTCATACGTCGACTAATAAAGGGCATAGAAACAAGTATGGTAATTAAAATGTTACGGTAATCAAAATATGAATCAAATTGGAGCTTTTCTGACAATGCAAATAAATCCGTTACAATATTGTAAAATTATTGAATGACAAGTCCAAGATATTTGTAATATAGAGTCTTCTTCTTATTACTTATACTTATATAATATGTATATACTTATATACATAAATACTTATGTTATTATATATATATATATATATATATATATATATATATATTGCCTTCATCATTTATATACATACGTATGTACATGACAAAATGATTTTTTATGTTATATAATTTTAATGACTTCATTTTTTATCTAAAACGGCAACATTGCAATAATATACTTAATAATATGTCAAAATACATACGTATTTATTTTTAAAATTTAATTTGTATTTATTTATTTAATTATTCATTTAATAAAACCTATAGAACTTAGCAATTTTACTTTCACGATACCATTTAATTTACAACAAGGAAAAATTATTTGTATAATTATTTATGTATGTATATGTTTATTGCTTTGCCATACCTTTAATTTTCTACTGGAAGTTTTCATATTTTTGTTTAGTGTATTCTTAATGCGAGATATTTCATTAGACTTCAAATATCATCTTAAGAATGACATTCTAAAATCACTACACTATTATTAAGTATTAATAGAAAATTAAAAAATGGATGCGAACGGCATAACATTTTTGTCAGCATTGTCACTTGGTCAGAATATCATTAACATACATTTTTTATTTTTCTATTAGCAATATCGATAAGAGAGCTATATAATCGTATACAGATAGATGCCTAATACAGATATGCCCCACACAGGAATCAAATCTGTTTCCTCCACCTATCTAGGTAGTGCGCATGCATGCAATGATAACCAAATGCACGAGAGAATCATCATCGAATAGTTGTATTGTAAAAAAAGAGAACTTATCGAGTGCAATTTGAATATACAGCAGGAAATCCTGGCGCATTTAACGGATATTTGCGGAGTCACACTCGCAAGATGCGAAAAGATACATACCCATATACACACTAGGACCACGAGTTTATTTATGTTTATCTATAACTCTTCAGAAAGAATGATATTTAGTATACCATGTTTTATTTATTTCCATTTTAATTTTTTAAGTACTAAATAAGGATTTTGAAAGTTTCCCATTGAAAAAATATTATTTAGCGACGAAAATATAATTTTATATATAGGATACGTGATAAGAAATAAAGAAATACAATCGTTCCACGCAAACATGTTCTCTTCATAACACGATTAAACGTAATATCGAGAAATAAGTGGCATTTACGTACAATACCCCTCCGATTCCGTAATCTTTTGTACTATAGAAAAGTTTAGCTAAAAGATTTTCTTAAACAAAGAATGCAAAGTGGAATATGGAAAAGATTAAACAGAAAATCCATGAACTTATAAATAAACAAACATTGATAGTATTAGGTCTAGGTATATGATTTGATTTGGTTTAGTTATTTTTCAAAGAAACATGGTATTTAAAAGCGCCATTTTAAACCACAAGTATTTATTTAAGTACTTGTTGATACTAAAAATAGACTTAATTGGTTCTCATAGATCATTTGTTACAGAAACCAACGTTGCACTTAAAGGTGACGACGTTAACGGCTTATGGCGAAACAAACGACGAGGATCTCTCTACAAAGGCATGGGCGTGCTTTGTTGTATGTCGCGTCCAAACTACCTCTGAGGGTGACAGGTCTCGCCCACGCGGCGACTCTCATTCACAGACAAATTTTAAACGAGAACTCTATTGTCTGGATATCATAGGAGAAGTTCTAACTGCAGTTGCCTTTTTCAAATACTCTATTGTTTGCTTATTGAATATTGATCGATTTCATTGTTTTAGTTACGAAAATACAATTTCGTATTATTTTTCTCTATAAATAAAACCTTTTATTATTTTGTATGTAGCACTATTCTAGATGGGTATTATTGAAATTTTAGAAGATATTTTTTTCTTTAAATTTTCTTTCACTATTTTCAACTTTGATATATTAAACTTGAATTTATTTGAATTATCATCTTACCTAACTTACTAAAGCATCTGTTAGAACTGATCCTATTATAACTGGCTGTAACCCAAAACACCAGTGAAACAATAAAAACTCCAAGTGTTCATAAACTGTTAGTGAACGCACCTATGATATTATACGTAGATTAGTGACGGATTGGTTATATGATGTGTAGAAATGAAAGGGTCCATTAGATTGCTATACTAATAGCGATGCAACACGTGCAATGTTAATTACGTACTTAACCGTGAGTTGTATGATGTTAAATGAATTACATATATCAGTATATATATTACTATAAGTTAAAATTAAGACGCACGATATGCTTATTTAAAGAGATATTGTGAATAGCCTGGAGTGGGATCAATTGCGTTTAAGTAGTTTAATATCTAAATATGTCGTATGTTTGTTTGCACTTCCCACTTATTGAACTGTATTTACGAGATTGTTTTTACTTTTACATCAAAATAATAGTATGTATAAAATAGTTTTTCTTCTAATATTATCCCATTGATTGAATTCCTGCTCATTTATAATGATAAGTTTTCTTAGCCTAGTTTTAAGTAGGAGTGGCTGATAATAGGTACGTATCTTACTGTTCTAAACGGTCACGATGTATGTATGTATGTTCCAATGTACAATCCTTGATGTCTATAATTGAATATAATCATATTTAAAAAGCATTTTACGGGCCACTTAATTTCATGTGAATGTTAAATGAAAACAAAAATTGTAATGAAAAAGTGGTCCTGAAAATTAAATAATGAATTATTTCAATAACAATTTAAACATTTTTATTGTACTTTTTTAAATACCTGATAATTTTATTTATTAGTAGTATCAAAGAAAGGCTATGTCCAACTATCTCGTCTTCCAAAACCGGATTCGAGGATCATTCATGAGTTAAGATCTCATTAAGTGTAAGAAATAATTCGAAATACCCATACTATTATATCTTTAAGGCGCTCTTTTCCAGAATCGCCGCTCCCTAGGCGCCAGCGCGCGACGACCCGTTTCATTTTATCTGTTTTTCGCCTATTGCCATAAATATAAGTTAATAAATGAAAATCTGTTTCTCCGAATATCTAAATAATGACAAGCTAAATCTATGAGTATAACTTTCATATCATATAATAATGTATTTTGTGTGTATCAGAGATTTTAAGGTATTTTTAGACCTATTTTTGAATTTTTTTTCTATCGAGTGAACTATTGCCAATCGTGTTTTGGCCTCTCCGGGTACTTAGCTATTATCCTTAACTATAACATGTATGAATTTTAGAACTATATGTATTATATTCGTGGTTTTATAATGGTTCAAAATATCCTAAATTCTGGAAAAGAGCGCCTTAATCTAATATTTTGTAATCTAGTTTTCATACTTTACTTAAAATGTTACTGATTTTATATACCGCTCTTCCTATGAAACTTGGAGACTAACAAGATATTGATAAATTATAAAAAGTTTTTAATATTATTTTTTTGGTCTCCCAAACCCTATGGATTGATGATTTTACATTCTAGTTAGATTAACAGTTTTTTGTTATCTCAAGCTCGCCTTGCCTCTATGTTACATCTTTATCTAAGCAAAAATACTTGTGAATCAAATTGAAAAGGATTTAAAATATCTCTGGCGAATTTTTAATTGGCCTAAAACAATATTTGAAACACAATAATTAAAATACTTATAATATTCCTAATAACGACTTGATAAACAAAATTTAATATGCCGTCGAAATTTTTGAAAACGGTCGTCGGTGCTCACTGGCAGATTTAATATGCACATTTGTTATAACCGTTTCAAAGTTACGTACTGTATGAGTTAAATCAAATTATTTTTAAGTTTTTCCTCATTATTGTTATATGTTAATATTAAGAAAGTATATATATATAAAAGAAAGTATATGTATATATATATATATATATACATATATATATATATATATATATATACATATATATATATATATATATATATATAATTTCCTTTTTAAGGTATGGCCTAGTCGGAACCATTGTGTAATTTAGCTTGCATATTCTAGTCAATTATTGTTTAAGTCCTGAAATACATTATTTAGAACATATATTTATTATCATAAGAATTAATTGTATATTATATAACTATTAAAATAATATATGACTATCATAACTTAAATAGTGGCAATTACTGTCTTTAAAACTAGCTTTCAATCAGATTAATCATCAAATATTTCATATGTATGTAAGAAGTCGATAATAATATTCATCAACTAATATTTTTATATGAGCTTCGATATTTCTATAAGAATTAACAATTATTTACTTTTATACCAAAATAATGCCAATTAACAAGTTTTAGTTCACTTTTAAATATATTCTATGGAACTTTATTAAATCCTGTGCATTTCCTAATATTATTATTAAGCTTAAATTAAATGTTTATGATCAAATATTCAATTATCATATCATAATAAATATCATAGAGTCAATCAAACCAAGCCAATTTATATTTTTGATATACGAACACCTCTAGTCCCTTCGAAATGAAATCACTCGAGCCGCTGAGTCCGGGGCAAACATAATACATACTCGTAAAACAAACAACCCGCAGTACGAATGGGACGCAAGGTTTAAATATCAAAAATATTTTGAATTTTAGAATACACAAGTTATTGAACACCAAACATTTGATAATGCACCATTTCACCTAGTCTGAAGTATTTTATTTGTTAGATTCATTGTAAAAATTCTAGGCAAACTATTTATTAATCTAATAAACATTCAATTTATACATATATATATAGATACATATATATATATATATATATATATATATATTGATACATAATTGTAATACAGGTGTAAACTATTTATATTGATGCACTTATTAAAGTGATGACTGTGATATACTCTTAATAAATTATAGAAAATATGCATTAGTAAATCATTTGAATCGTAATACAGTTTTATTTATAGCCCATTTCTATATTAATATTATAAAGAGGTAAATTTTGTGAGTTTGTAATGGATAAACTAAAAATCGGCTGAACTAATTTAGATGAAATTTGGTATGGAGATAGTTTGAAATCATGGGAAGGACATAGAATTTTTATATTCCATAATAACTGTTAAAACGTACATTGGTACGAACCCGAGCGAAGCGAGGTGGAGTCGCTAATCTATACATATAATAAAATTGTAACTAAGCCGAATCTGTACATTATTATTTTTTGAAAAATCTTATTGAAATAGACTTTATTATCGATACAAACGCCGAATTTTAGAATGTTTTTAGAATTTTTGTCTGTCTGTCTGTTACCGCATCACAGAAAAACCACTGGAGGGATTTTGACAAAATTTGGTATGGTGATGGCTCGTAATCCGGGTCAACATATAGGATACTTTTTAACGCAGAAAATGTCTCATTTCTAAGAAAACATACAAAAAATGCGATGTAAGATTATACTCATGTGTAAATCTAAGAATTTGGTTTTTGGTCATCTGAACGCGGGCGGAGCCGCGGGCAATGCTAGTCTGGTATATAATTCCTACTAATGTTAAAGTATTTATTGTATTTATAATGATGTGTCTTCCTTCATCTACCTTCTACACAACTACAAAGCGACGCGACGGCTCGACGTGATTTTTGACTCACTTTAAAAAAGAATAGGAAGTTAATTGTTGTATTTTTTTGTGTATGTTCGCCAATTCTATAACAATGTTCATATTTATTTTTAAATTAAAGGTAAATAAAAAAATACCCCCTAAACGTGGAATAATTACTTGTAATTGAATTATTAATTTTACAACGTACATAATAGTTATAAATTCATACTTACCTTCTAGATACCTTGAAATACTATATGAAATAACATAGGTCTTAGGTAAATGTTTGGCTTATTATTGTTTGTAATTATTCGCATAGTTGAGGCCGCATCGCTTAGTTGTCGAATTAAGACGGGGGAGATTCCAATGGGTTTTGTTGGGTAGTAAGTAGGTACGGGCTTTTCTGGATGAGTCTCGGTGAGTCTTATATGATGTTCTCCTGACCGATTCTGGCCACGGCGGCCAATCTTATTGAGACTAGCCAACTGCGCAGGAGATATTATAGTGCACAAGTGTACGCGCAGACACAAGTGCACTCTCTATTCCTGTCACTCTCATACTCTGGTGGGACGACCACTGGACAAGACCAGTGAGAGTTAAGGCGCAGGACCGACGGCTTTACGTGCTCTCCGAGGCTGGGGGGTGAAACACCGCCAACTTCCCAACTCCGGGCTGTTACTGAGACTTAATATACAGAAAGACTCAATAACTAAACTTGGCCCGACCCGGGATTCGAACCCAGGACCTCCGGTGTGCAGCAGTACATGCTAGCCACTACACCACCGAGACAGTTGAGTCTTATATAACCACCCGTATGTAGGTGATATGCGTAAGTGCATTTCCCACAATATTTCTCCCGGTACATTAAGTTGATACCCTTGAGATCGAATTCTGATACAAATTGTTACTTAATGCCTACGCGAATCCATCTCACTATATCACAATCAATATAAACGAAATATTATAATCTCTTAGTAGTATTATAATTAGTCTGGATACCGCAGAAACTTCAAAGGCGAACAAAACTGTATCTATACAACATATAAAATTTATAAAAATTCTGTGTTTCTTGCAAAGCTACCTATTACTATATAATACCTTTAAATGTAATAGTTTGAATGTGGCTGCGTATGTTTGTTTGTTAATCTGTAACGCAATTTCATTGTAATTCAATATATCCTGAATAGAGACTAGTTTTTACTAACTACGGTTTCCTGGAAGAGATCGATGATTTATATGAACCGATAAGGTCGCTTATTGTTCCATTTTGTTGTTCATACTTTATATGTATGTAGATATTCTATTATATATGTAGATAAAATGTACAATAAAAATTACTTTACTTTTACTATATTTTTAAGTACTATGCTAAAACATAAAACATTATTTAAATCACGGTCATTATTTCCAACACAAAATCATTACAAAGGGGTTTTTGATTTCAATTTTAATGAAGTAAATATTATATTCTTCACAAGACTTTAATTACACTCGTTCATAGATGTCGCCTCGATGTCGTATGTACGGGATGGCTGTGCGTCCTCCCCCGCCGTAATCACTCTTTCCTCTCTTCGGCTTATAATCATACTCCAATGAATCCTTCGACGCGAACGCTGCAATGTCATATTTATTCAAATATACGAGTATTAACACCGACATAGAATCGTGGACTTACATACTATATCTGTATATATAATAAGAGTATATTAAAATTAATTAAACTGTCTCAGTGGTGTAGTGGCTAGCATGTACGACTGCACACCCGGAGATCCTGGGTTCGAATGCCGGGTCGGGACAAATTTAGTTATTGAGTCTTTCTGTATAGTAAGTCTCAGTAACAACCCGGAGTTGGGAAGTTGGCGGTGTCTCACCCCCGTGCCTCGGAGTCGCCTCACAGGTCGTATCGAGCAGTCGTCCCACCGGAGTATGAGAGTGATAGGAATAGAGAGTGCACGTTGTGTCTGCGCGTACACTTGTGCACTATAATATCTCCTGCGCAGTTGGCTAGTCTCAATGAGATTATCCGCCGTGGCCGGAATCGGTCAGGAGAACATCATCATCATCATCATTAAAATTAAAACGTAAAATCGGTATATGTAATTTTAATTATTGGAAAGCTATTTGAAATCACAATTTCCACACGTTTAAATTGCATTTGACTACTTCATTACGTACTTATTGGTTCAATTCATTTAATTTGTCTTTTACAATGAAATTTGAAATGGAATTCTGTCAATTAAATTATGTCAAGTTAAATGAATATGTATAATATGAATATACTCGTATTTCTACGCAGGCATAGTACTTATGATCTCGTGTGGATGAGGGATGGGCGAGACCCGGATTGGATTTAGCACTATAAGAGATTTTTTCAGTAACACTGTTTTTGTTTTTTCTTAGATATATGCAAATATATTAACAATAACATTTTAAATGAATCATTAATTTATAAATTTTGTGACATTTCTTTTACAGACCCATAAAATTGTTTACACTTTAATTTGGGTACCTTACAATATTAAAAAAAATCTCAAGTCTTTTCCGTGGCCATATTTTCTGTAAAGCATTCGAAACGCATTTCGCAGGGAATAAAGAAATCAAAATATAATCCGAATAAATAATAGTTGCTTAATTGGTGATACTACACCTTCGTGCTTTTACGACCATGTAAAGCGGGTGGTTTATCTCCATCGTTCTCTGATCATACTGTATTATAATATATTCCGCAGAAATGGCTTTTAGTCGCAGCCTTAGTGAGGATTGGCCGACGTGATCGAAACAAAATCCGTCAGGTCAGGAGGAGATTATAAATGAAATCTGGACTGTGATGTTTGTACTTTTGTAAATGTGTCAACGGACTACTATTATAAATGCGAAAGGTTGTATGTTTGTATGTGTATATTTGTTACTCATTAACGCGGAAACGACTGTACGGATTTAGATTAAATTTAGTAAAAAGAGACTCTATGACAATAAGTGATATGGCCTACTTTTAGGCTTCAAAGAAGCCGAGCAAAACAAAGTCGTTAATTAATTATAATACGAAAAAATACAAACACAACAAACGTACAATTGTAGACTTAAGGGCAATTTCATTTATTTATTATAAAAACACAAATTAGGTATATTGTTTAGATAAAAGAGAATTTTTTGCTAATTAGGAGTCCATTTTCATACTTCTTTTTTTTAAATAGGTTATTAAATTATTATTTACTGCGTATTCTGACTTAGAGAGCCCGCTCACTAGGCAGCCTAGCTGCGGCAGGCAAACTGCGGCAGCCAGTTATAGCAGCCATGGCCATGGCCAGTTGGGACGATTTTGTTGAGCGATATGGATGTGGAGAATGTAATTATTAAGTTATATATATTTTTATAAGCCATTTATAAAACCCTTTATTATGATACCCAACTTCGTAGGTTTTGAGTAAAAAAACTTTTTGAAAACATAAAATGGCACCAAATATCGGCCATTTTAATTTTTATAATTTTGATATATTCAGTGTCACTGTTACAATTAAGGCGAATCTGACGACACAAAATCCATCAAGCCGTTTAGGCTACAGAGCGTGCAAAAGAAATAACATAGGTACATCCATAAACTCAAAAACATAACCCTCTTACTACTTTACAAAATACTCTTACTTTTAATATTAGCCGTCATATGTTCGACTGGCCGAAGTATGTTTTAAGTACATTAATAATATTATAATTCACTAAATTCCTTCATTATATTTCTTCAAGGCAGTGGTAGCCCAGTGGTGACGCGCTCGCTTGGGTAACCGAGTGAAGCGGGTTCAAATCCCGGCTCTCGCTCCTCTGATATTTTCATGTGTGAATCATTTTCAACATGATTACCACTTGCCTTACTGTGAAGGAAAACATTGTGAGGAAACCTGCATGTCTGAAAGAACCTAGCAAGTTTACGAAAGACATGTGAAATCCGCCAACCCGAACTTGGCCAGCGTGGTGGACTATGGCCTGATCCCCCTCGTATTAAAGGGAGGCCCGTGATCAGCAGTGGGACGTTAAGAAGGGCTGAATACATACATACATTTCTTCAAAACACTTTAGATGAATATAAAAAGGATAAACCCCAACCGATCTCGTTTTAGCAACATACCTATTAATGGCGAAAAATAAAAACGCTAAAGAATTTTATTGCTTACTTACTTTCCTTTGACTCTTTAATCCGCCGTCTGTTATCTTTTATTACGAATCCTTTGTAATATTGTATTTTTTTGCTGTGGTCTTTAACTGACGATTTTTTGTACGAATCCGATTTAGAAAGCACCGAAGAGATCCTTTAAATAATAATATAGTTTTTGAATAACCATTACTCTTAGAGTAAAGTACCTATACGAAGTCCACCAAAATAAATATCGAAGTCAAAAATAGTAGCGTGATTTGTTGTTTTTGCTACTATTCTTGATTTTGCCATATATATTAATTAATTATTAGATTATTAGATAGAATTAAATACAATTTATTTAAGCATTATTTCTCTTCCCATTGAAAGAGAAATAGTATAATATTAGCTTATTTATTTACTTTTTCTTTATTTTAATAAAATCAACTGGCTATTTTTATTTATTAACATTTATTTAAGATAAGTAAGTATACAAATTGTCATTCGTAAATTATTTTAAAACATTACTGATAAGCTTAATTTTTTGTTCTGACACTCTGTCAATATTATTGTTTAGGCTGAGCCATGGCTATATTTGTTTAGGAACTATATAACTATTATAATTTCTATTAAAAATACTACTTACACGCCAGATATATCTTTCATAGCTGATTTTGGTAAGTTAACTTTAGGATCAAGAATTACATAAAGCTTAGAGTAATCGCTTCCACTAGCTGGTATATTTTCATACAAGTCTCGATGCATTTTTTCGTTTAATGGAAGCAATTTCTTATTATTTGTAGACAATTTCCATAAATGATTTTTTCTATCAAAATATTCTTTGCCATTTGTGTTTGAATACTGTGGCTTATTAAAATATGTACGTTTTTTGTGGTCGTTGTCAATATTTTTTGCAACATTTTGAATCAAACGCGTGAAATCATCGTTGTCGTCCTTTAAAATATATTCTTGTGGATGATGTTCATGTTTCTGTTGCAAATCTTTATATGAGTGGTCATAATATTTTAAAATGATGTCCATGTCTAATTGTTTTACTTGTAAGCCATGTACTTTATAAACCAACGCAAGTGCTGTAAGTATATTAAAATATTATTATACTAGCACTACGAACTAGAACAGCACAAACAGATCTATCCCACGGGAACCTTTCATTTTTCCGGGATAAAAAGTAGCCTGTTGTTTGACCGGCAATATAAGGTATCAACGTGCCAAATTTTACTAAATTAGGTGCATAATTTGTTGTGTACTAAGCTGTATAAGTTTACTTAGTTTAGTTACTATAGCTTTTTAACTATCGGGAACTCTTTAATTTTCCGGGATGAAAAGTATCTAATATGTTGACCGGGGATATAAGATACCACCATGCAAAATTTCATTTAAATCGGCCCTACAGATTCGGAGATTAGCTCGTACAAACAGACAAACAGACGGACAGAAAAACAAAAAAAGTTGAAAAAAAACCTAATTTGTTCTATTTTTCTCCTTACATCCCCCTGACTCGGTTTTTACAGATTTTACACCTCTACAGTTTTATTATATGTATAGATTATACAAATTAAGTAGAGTAAAATAAAAGCTTACTATTAAATAATAATATATTATAAAATATATTTCCCTCTTATTAAAATATATTTTCTTCTTTTTCACACAATACACTTTAATATACTTACCAAGGAAAATCAAGCGTATGGGAGGCATTTTTCAGTTTTAAAACAATTTGGCATGTTATCAAGCGAATGCTCAATTTCCACGCTAATTTTCAATTTTCATTTTCTCTTATCAATTCTAAACGCTCTGTGCTCTATAAATTATTTGATGTTTTAATTTTATTTAAGAGACGTATCAGATAGTAACTATAACAAATTGAATTACCTATAATAAAAGAATTATATATAAAATTGAATTACCTATAATAAAAGAATTATATATTAACGAAACAAAACATTTTATACTATATAAACTTCCTTTCCTATCGGTTGCTTGTAAGAGATCACTTTTAGTGATAAGGCCGCCTTTTCACATCTCTTTAATTGTATTTTTTTATGTTAATGTACTATTTTCTTGTGCAATAAAGTGTTATAAATAAAAATAAAAAAATAAATGCTAAAGTTTCTTTGCTGGTTTGTTATTTTATGGGTTGCCATTTTTACATTGTAAAGAAACTGTAGGTTTTGGCATATTTTATAGGAAATTACGCATAGTGATAATGTTTGATCTTGAGAGTGTTCACACATTAAATGATTTGTTACATATGTATATTAGTATTTTGTAAAAAGGTATTGAAGAAAGCCCGGGGTATTAAATAAAGGTTTGGAGTTGGAAAAGGTGTACCTAAGAAAAAATATTATGTAGATGTTTGTAGTCTCGCTCAGCAGGTATACATAGTCAGGCATTTTCTTCGTTTATCTTTTAATTCACTATTAGTGTTTTATAACATTATGTACTACACTTTGTTAATCTAGAATAAAAGACCAGTTCAATTACGCCAGGTTGGTTGGTGATGTTTCAGGTTGCGCGTCGGGAATCGTCGCCCGCATGCCATGAGTGTGGTGCGTCCGTGGACACCTCGCACCACACACTCGTGGAATGCGCCGCTTGGGCTCCCCAGCGCCATGCCCTGATGGCGGTAGTAGGTGGAGACCTCTCGTTGTGTAGCGTGGTACCGGAGCCATGCTACGTGACGAGAGGTCCTGGTCGGCGATGGTCTCCTTCAGCGAGACGGAGCGAGAGGAAACGCGAGGCTAGCGCCTTAGTAGACCCTCTTCGTCGCCGTCGGCCAGGGGGGAGGAGGCGCCGATATGCGCATCTTCTCCCGCCACCCTAGAGGAGCTACTGCGGGGGGGTCTCTCGTGGACTCCCCTGCACGTCATCGGGGCGGTCTGGATACTCTGTGAATCGAGGGCATCCTGATTTAGGCGAGGTTGGCCCCCGAGGTACGGGCCGTCCGCAGGGGTGTTGTAGTGTGTGCGCAAGCGATCCTGCAACGCCCCATTGCACTGCGGCGACGGGTTCCGCTGTGGGTTTTAGTGAGCAGGAGTCTCACAGTACCTTGTCCGTTATGACGGCCGGCAGGGTCCCCATGATGGGTTTCCCCAGCGAGAGAAAAAAAAATGGTTGGTCGGTGATAGTACCCACTTTTTAGGTGCACATGGCATTCATTGAATGATCTTACTACTACCTACTTCTACACAACAATATATCAAATGCAAAAAATGCTAATTGTGCCAAATATATACTAACGATATGGCCTTTAGATACATTTTAAATACTTTCTTAGATTTACCCGAATATTAGACGTTTCAAATAAAACTATTTTTTCGGATTATTTCGCTTATTTATTTTGATTTTTCGATCACAACAACTTGTTTCTTTATGACTGTATAATACAAGTAAATAGTGTAGTAGAAAAATTATTTTACTTATAAAAGTGACTGGCGTTTATGGATAACCCTTTAAGATTTTTGTAAGAAGAAATATTTTTGTACACATCTTTCCACTGTAATAAATAAATAAAGAAAACTATCTCTTTTCCAATATTCAAATCAGTCACAGCATGTAGAAGTAACAAGCATACTAATCACTCACAAAATATATTATGTATTAGAGCGATTCACTTTTGAATAACTTTGCTTAAACATTTAAAATCACGCATGACGCACAACATATTATATATCAGATATATTGCATGAATTAAAAGAGTGGTATTAAAGAAATTATAAACGTTATTTTACATTACATTCATTCTAAGACAATCTATTTGAAACTGGAATTAAATTTCAATAGGTACCTATATAATAAAATACAATGTACAATGAAATCTTTGTAGTATATAATACGAATATATCTAACTAGAGCTCGCAACCATTACAAAAATAAATGAGTCTATTACTACTACATATTTTTAAAGCTTTTAAAATACTTAAAACCTACAATACAAAGTATATTATGCAGTCGTACGTCAGAATCGTGTTATTATGAACAATTTCGTGTAATTACTGGATAATGTGCTCAAAGAAAGGCAAGTAAATGCACGCAATGCACTATAGGAAATACGAAACAGAATTTCTGGCAATATTTTTGCAACTATAGATTCGACTAAAATGTGTCAGTTGTGCACTTTATGTATGCAAGGTGTCTGTGGTTGAAATAAAAATTTATGCGAGGAAATGTAGAGGAAGAAACAAGATGCATTTTGTTGGCACCGCATTATTAAGGAACTGTGAGATAGAATAAGGTATTATTTTTATTTGACTCAAATATTATACCTATTTCCCGAGACAGTCTGCAATGCAGGCTTTTGAACTGAATTGGTACAAATTTCACTAAATTGCAACTTAAAACTAAAATTAACAGTAGGTACGGCTATTTTCATGTGAAAAGAGAATTAAAAATTGGCAGAATAAAAAGGAAAGCTAAATACTTTTTATAATTCTTTAAATCTATACACTCAATATTTGTCTTTGTATCTCATACGAATTTTATGGTATGATTTCCGTTCATTACCTTATATCCCACACAGCAAGTGGGCACTTACAGTGAACTTGAGCCATTTTACTCTTTTTAAGTATATTCAACCAACTCCAACCTTACCGCCTACTTTTAATTTTTTTTTTAACGTTGGGTAATGCATTTACGCACGACGTGTGGGACTCACCGGCGTAATACAGCCAGTACTACCCACTAAAACCCAACCCAACAAAACCTTCCCCCGTCTTAATGGGGCGTCACAGGATCGCTTACGCATTCAACTACGACGCCCCAACGGCAGGTCTGCCGAAGCAGACCACCACAACCATGGGGTTGCTCCAAGGTTCACTCTGCTATCAGAGAAGTACCAGGAGCAACCCGCATAGTACAACGCCCCCCGAAGAGAGCCACCTCCCACCGCCCACTGAAGTGGGCAACCTCCCTGTGCGTTTCTTAGCTTCGCGCCCGGTTGGATTGCCGGGCACTACTGAGCCCCCCACCACGAAAAGGTGAACGCACGTTGGGGGGGGGGGCTACTTTTAACCCTAACTGAATTTTGAAAAATTTCAAAATATATGTTTATTTAATTGTATTGAAGAGTTACGCAGTTTCAATTAATTCTGACCATAAACAATTTTTCCACTTATTAACAGCATAACCCCTTTTTATCCTTTTAAAGGATGAAACTCGAAAAAAAATATATTTATATTGTTGTATATTTCATTTTAAAGGTAAACACCACTATTCGTGCATTAATTACAAAGTTTCAATCAAACTTTGATCCCCCATTTTACCCCCTTGATTGGATTGAATTTAGAAAAAAATGGTAAAATATGTATTTATTTAATTGTATTGGAGATTAATACCAAATATCAAGTAAATCTATTCATAAATATTCTTTTGCCCATATACCTAAAATATATTATCGTCCCCTTTTGCCTTTTTAAGGGTAAAATTTCGAAAAGAAATCAAATAAATATATTTCTTATTTTTTATCTTAAAGCTAAATACCATTTTTGCGTATAAAGTGTGTACCTAATCTTTGTAAAAGCTACGGGACGTTGGAAGGATGGGAAGGATTACAATGGCTTTACATTGTAAATAATATCATTTTTATTATATCACCGTTCTGCTTTGTTCGAGTAAATTAATTTATACGGTTAATGGAACTTAACCAGTATAATCTTAGAACTTCAGTCGCAGATTCACTTAAGAGAACTTGAGATAAAATATATTTCATTTCCTTTTATAAGATTGTAAGTAAATGTTGTGATGCTGTTTTATAACTGTAAAATTAAAACAAGTTTATGTGCGTTTTGGATTTTGGGAACCAAAAATCAAAATAAAAGATAGTTTTATTTAAAATGTCAAATATTCGCGTAAATATAAGAAAGTATTAAGTTTATATGCATTTAAAATTTGATTGTATCAATATTTCAAACCGTCTCTCTTTCTGTGAGACCATTAAAAATATGTCGACAAATGCTTATGAAATTTATTATTGTATAGTTTTTGTTTTCAGTTTTCATTTATAACCTTGATAAGATTGATTTTCATCAGTTGAAACAAACCAAGTTTATGTCACTATGAAGTCTCTATAAAAAATATATTAAATGAAATTTCTAATCTAAAATAATATTTGCACGTTACATTTAATCTGAACAAGCTTAAGTTGATCATTTCAAGGCGTTTATCTCATCTAAACACAAATTATCTTAGCTTTCATCGGATTGGTGCAATGCGGCCTCGGTGTGAGATCTGCTATTACAGCTGAATCGGTCTTCAAAATCAATATTATCAGAAATGGCACAAAAATTTGATATTAAATATATATACTAAAGTCCCTACTCGTATTCAAGTAAGTTAAGTCAACCGTACATATACGTAATATTTTATTAACATTTGATTCTATTAGGCTTAGAAATTCTTTTAATTTAAAATAAACTAATTTATAATAATCGACAAATATACATATATAGTGAATAGAAATGAAACAACATAAATATATAATTAATACATTTTGGGAAGATATGAGTACAAATATAACTTTATAAAACATAATAAATAAAACTATTAAAAATAGTTTTATTTTAAATACAAACATTAAAATAAAATTATAAAAAAGAAAAAATAAATTTATTGTAGGTATCCCTCATTTTCGTTTAATATGTCGCATGATACTTGACAAACCATTTTTCGTTTATTACACCACTTAGTAACCATAATTATTT